GCGCCCGCGACCTGCGCCTACACCCCTCCCTCAGGTACGGGCGCGGGCCGCGCCGGTGTCCCCGCCGCTCCGCGGGCGGGCGGGCTCCCCTCCCCCCGCCCCGCCCCCTCCCCCCACGCCGCGGGGCTCCGCTCGCCCGGCTCGCGCCCTACTTCTCGCCCGCGCTGCCCCGCGCCCCCTCCGGAGAGCCGCCTGCCCCATTCTCGCCCTTTCCACCCCTCCCCCTCCTCCCCATCCTCACCCCCCTCCCCAGCCGCGTCCCTCCCGGCCCTTCTTGCCCCCCACCCCCCCACACACACACCCGGCGGTTCTCGGTTCCCCATCCTCCGCCACCCTCCCGGCCCCTTCCCTCCTCCAGCCGCATCCTGGAACTAAGTCTTTGCAAAAAAAAAAAAAGAAAAAGGAAAAAGTACCGGCTGCGTGTCTGGGTGGAAAGTGCTGGCTGGAGCCCGGCCTTCCCCGGCGTGCACCCGCCGCGCCCCGGGTCCCTCCCGCCCGGCCCCGGCCCGTCCCGCCCGCAGGCCCTCGGGAGCCCCGTTGGGAGGAGACCTGGGCGGGGGGTGTCTTTCTCGGAGCCCTCGAGGGGGACGTGTGTTGTCTTCTTGGTCTTTTGTGAGGATGTCCGGTGCTGGTCACAGTTGGGATCCCGAGCCCATTTTTTTTTTCCTCTGGTTTTTTCTCTGCAGCCCCCACTGGCCTGATTTGAAACTAGATTCCCCCCCCCCCCCCATCACCCCTTCTCCTTTCTTCCCCGCCCCCCCTCTTCTCCCACTCGTCATGTTTGCATTCTCTTGCCCTTGATTACTTTTAATGAAGATAAAGCATGGTCTCTTGTGGGGCTCCCCACTACCACCCCCCCCCCCCACTAACCAGAAATGCCCCATCCATCTTCCCTAAAGGAAATTAAGGCCCCTTTAGGAAGACATCATCCTGTGCTTTCTAGCTGTTAGACACCTTTGCAATGTTTTTTTTAAAGATCCATCGCTTTTTTTTTTTAATTGTGTGTTCTTGAGCGTCTCCTCAGATATTTTTAAAAGTGCAGAAAGAAATCCAAGGGTTCACCCTCTCACCATCTCAGTGTTCCCCCAGATTTTAAGCGCTTCTGAGTTTTTAATCCCTGAGTATTTGAACAGTACAGGTCTGAAGACGTGATCATGGGTCTGGATACTGGGAATCTTAAGTATTTGTCCTTATTCAGAACAATTTGGATGCTCCTTGTGCTTTGGGGTTTCATGTGTCCACAGATGAGGAAGATGGAGTGTTTTCATATATAACAACCTTGTTCTGTCTCCCCTAGGATGCAGTATATTTTCCCCAAAATCAGGTGTTGTGTTAAAGGTTTCCTGTATAAATATCCTTAAGTTAACTGCTGGGTATTACTAGGTGTTGTGCATATAATATAAATCATGTTATTTTACATTTTAGAAAAGTTTGGAAATGGGAATAGGAAGACTTGCAAGACATAGGTGACAGAATTAAATGTTTTCTTTCAGTAAAAGTGCATATAAACGGTTGTTTTGTGGTTTCTAAGCTGCAAGACATGATTATAAAGCTTACTTTTATATAGTGTGGGCTTATGGAGGGAATATCGTTGTTTTTGTGTTGTTGACAGTATTTGTAGCCAGACCACTTCGTCTGTATGGAAGGTGTGCCTTTCATTCATATATGTAGCTAATTTCTAAGGACTGTAGTTTCAACAGAGAAGTAATCAAGCTTAGGCAATTTATGAGTTGAAGATGTAAGTTTACAATATGTAAACTCTTTAAAATATAACGTACATTATGAAAATCTACTGCTTAATGTTTCAGTGAGTATGAGTTAAAAATTTTATCGATCTATTTACCTTATCTTTGAAACTGCCATAGGAGAGTAATTATAATCCTGGAGTTTGTCTTCCTTCTAGATTTCATAATTGGATCAGACAAGCTTTTTGGGAATCAATTTTAAAATACTAATTCAGAAAATGATAAAAAATTTTAATGTAGGAGGTTTTACTTTAAAGAATTTGTAATTTAAAGAAACAAGGTACCACATTTAAAAGTGGAATGTTTTTCATTAAAAAATTGAAATATATTTGGACTTTTGAAGCCAGACATGAAGCATACTGATATAAATGTCAGTATTCTATTAAGTGACTTTAGTGCTCATAAAAGATGTCATAGCTGTGGAGACTGATGGTCTCCATTTACAGAATAGGTAGAGACAGTAGTCAAATTTTCTATCACTGTGTTTCAGAGCAGTTTGTGCAGACTTATTTTTCTTTGGCATGATGGAAGAAAGCTCTCGGTTGAGAGTGGTAATCTGTGGTGCCTAAAGGCATTCAGTATTTTCTTCTGGTGATTCTATGACATACTAATACATCAAAGATTATTGTACCATATTTACAAAGCAGCATTTTGAATTTATCATTTTTGAAAAAGACAAGTACCAATCACTCAATGGCCAAGTTTTATTTTAAAAAGAATGCAGCCAGAAGCCAGTGGCTCATGCCTGTAATCCTACTCAGGAGACTATGATTTTAGGATTGCAACCTGAAGCTAGTCAGAACAAGAAACTCTATAAGACTCTTATCTTCAATTAACCAGCAAAATGCTAGAAGTGGAGCTGTCTCAAGTGGTAGAGTACTAATCTCAAGCAAAAAAAAGCAGAGAAATAGTACCCAGGCCCTGAGTTCAAGTGCTAAAAAATATATACATATGTGTGTGTATAAGTACAAAATAAGTGCATTAAAAAATGCTCTTAAAAGAGCATTACAAATGTAGGAGAGAATGTAGAAATGACCAATACTGGTCATACAAATACTGATTATTCTAGAAATGAAATTTACAATAAAAAGGACATGGTCTTTAGATGGATGATTGTCAAAAATAAGTGTAACAACACATCTGGTAAGGATAAGCCCTCGAGAAACATGTAGAAAAGTTGGGTAATACCTACCAATATTGCAAGTGAATCTCCCATGTGATCTAAGCATTGAACTTGTAGAGGTACTCAAGGTAGTATACACCAAGAAAGCATCTTGTTATCTGTGTTTTTGTTGGCCCACACATTCCCACATGCAATAGGAGAAATAGTAAGTGATTAGGAAGCTATAGCTTTCAATATGTGGAAGTTGTAAGGAACTCATTAACTATGTTGAGATACAAAGAGATCAAAACAAAATGCAGAATAACTATGGTTGGACAGTAGACTGTGAAACTGTCACACCAGCATAGTGAGAAGTAAAGTAGGTGCTGAGGATAGTGCTCCTCCACCACTCAGACACCAGCAAGTAGCAGACAGAAAAGCAGGACAGCAGGCATCTCCTGAAGACAGTTTGACACAATACAAAATCATCTTGCCAAGAACATGAAACCTGGATGTGGTTATGTGTTTGAACGAAACCGAGGGACATCAAATCCCAGACTATGGGAAAGTACAGAAGGGATGGCATGATTCCCATAGAAAGAGCTAGAAAATAACTGAGAGAAGGCACGTAATTTCAAAGATGCTTAAATGATATACCAACCAATTTCAAATATTGGGCCTTAAATAGATCCTGAATTTAGCAAACTGTACAGTACTTGTTAATAAACAGAGGAAAGTAAAATTGGATTGTTATAACAGGAAATCATATTTTAATTCTGATTGCAGTAAATACAGCATTGTTATATAGGGGTCTTTGTTGTGTTGTGTGTGTGTGTGTGTGTGTGTGTGTGTGTGTGTGTGTGTGTGTGTGTTGTGTCAGTTGTGGGGCCTGAACTCTGGGCCTGGGCGCTGTCCCTCAGCTCTTCAGCTCAAGGCTAGTGCTCTACCACTTGGGCCACAGCACCACTTCCACCCTTTTTTGCTTATCTGGTGCAGAGGAATTGAACCCAGGGCCTCATGCATGCAAGGCAAGCACTCTACTACTGAGCCACCTTCCCAGCTCTCTGTAGGTTTTTTATTTGCTTTCTTTTTGCAGTGCTGGAGCTTCATATGTGCTATATAAGTGCTCTACCACTAAGTTCAGTTCTAAAGTGTTTTTAAAAGTCTTTGTCATTTCTTGGAATACATTTCAAAGGAACTTTTTCATTTCAAGTGAACTCCAAGATATGGAAACAAGAGTTTTTATTTTGTTGTTTTCTGTTTGTTTTTTAATGTATTGTGTGAAGTTCTTTATTCACTTTTTTTTCCTTTGATTTATCCTCTGTCTCTGAGCCTCTTTGTGCTCTACTCCTTACGCCACAGTGCCACTTTCAGTTTTTGAGTGGTTAATTGGAGATAACAGTCTCACAGGGAGATTTCTGCCTGACCTGACTTTGAACCATGATCCTCAGATCTCAGCCTCCTGAGTAGCTTCACTGAGGTTTTTGATGTTGTTGTTTGTTTCTTGTTTTTTTTGTGCTAGTACTAGGGCTTCTAGACACTGTCCTTTACCTTTTATACTCAAAGCTGGAGCTCTAGCACTTAAGTCACAGTTCCACTTCCAACTTTTTGGTAGTTAATTGGAAATAAGAGTCTCACAGACTTTCCTTCCAAAGTTAGCATCAAACTGCAATCCTCAGATTTCAGCCTCCTTAGTAACTAGGATTACAGGGATGAGCCACTGATGCTTGCCTCTCAACGTTCTTGTATCCAGCCATTAGCAAAGTGGATCGCACCAATCCAAGGCTTCAAGTACTTGTCTCTTGAGTTGCTAAATAAACTGAAAGATACTTACAGCTGATATCAAAACAGCATGTATCGGCACAGCATGGTATTTACAATAGCAGCAGGAAACCTGGATTCATAAGTAGGGAGTGTTTATGATTATTAGAGTTCCAGGACAAAACATGGAATTCAACACCAACTTTATACTACCAAGCAGAGTCAACATGTAATAGATTGCCTTCTAGCAATAGAGTAATGGCTATATTGAACTTAGTGTCTCTTCCTGCCAGGCAAGTGTTCTACCAATTGACCGATGGACTAGTAGACCTTTTTATCATCGTTTGTTTTTCAAATGAAGTCAAACATTTTTCCCAGGTAGTCTCAAACTGTGATGATCTTGTCTCTGCCTCTAAAGTAGTTGGGATTGCTGGTATAAGCACCATATCCATGTCCCTAAAAGATGTCTTGAATGCAGATTAATACCCTAAGGGTTCCCTAACTAAGAAGTAACTGATTTTGCTCAGAAAGCCAATGCTGGAACTTGAGTGAGTGAGGGCATCTGTCCAAGTACTCAAGACATGCCCACATGTAAGGGATATTTGACTGCCAGTATCTTTCTGCCATGGCTTTGTTTTCTAGTATTCTGTGATAGATTAGTGACATAGAGCACAGCAGGTTCAAAGCAAAGAAAGAATGAGTACAAGGGCATCTTAGATGATACTCTTAGAATTATTTATGTGATCCTGTTAATTGCTTTTAACCAGAACCCTGTGACCCTGTCAGGGAATGCCTACAGACGCCCATACTCCAAGACTTTTCACTGGAAATGTGGAATTGTCACCAACTTACTTTGGCTTTTCAACCTTAAATGCCACTTTAGAAATCATCTGTCTGAGGCACCCCAGTGGGTGAGACAATGAATCACCGTGCACACAGTCCCAGTTCTCATCCCTTTCCTGGAATCCAGGGGGCACTCTGTATACTCAACTTTACTCATCATCCCCCTTCCTTAAACATGGAAAAGTTCACATTCTGTTAAAGAAATAAATCTGAGAGGAAAATTGAAAGAATTTTTCATGACTTCCTCGAGCTCCTTTATTTTGTTAATGATATTTTCTACCCAAGAAGGTGTTGTTCTCTTGGGTCTTAAGGAATGCATGCTGTCTAATACCACGAAGGAGGAAGAAGACACCAGTGTTAAATTGGCCCACTTGAGAAACTTCGTCATCAACATAGACAAGTCTCGTTAGGCTAACTCAGTGTTTTTTCATCACAATCCTGTTCTTTTGGACCCACAGTCAAACCTCTTTTCTCAGACCTTGAAATCCTCCAGGGCCTCTCTGCAGGAGAGAAGTCAGAGGTTCTCTGAGAAAGATGCAAGAGAAACAAACGCCGTGACTCTAAAGTGAAGACTCTGTTTCCATGCCCTGCCCCAGTGTAGACCGGAGGCATGACAGACTGAGTGACAGAACAGATCGCAGGAATGCATTCCATTATCTTTGGAATCACAGACCCGTAAAACATCTGGCTTCCGGGTGCATCACCAACATGTGGGCCAGCAACTCAAATCTGCTTCGTTCTGACGGAAAAGACAGTATGCTTTTATGTGTAAGTTAGAGGGAGGGGAATTTCAAGGAGTTTCTCTTATTTTCTAACGTGTCCTTTCTACGTTCTTATCATTCAGTTTCTTTCATTTACCAAATGAGATGCTTTCTTGTACAAAATGAGATTCGTTATTTATTTATTTATCTAATGATTTGTTTAGGTGCTGGCATGAAAAAAATAACTTTTAAATGTCTTTTGTTAATTGGTATTTAATATTATTGTTATGGATTGATTGATTTGCCATTGAGCTAGCTCATGTCTGTGATTCTGTAATTCTAGTCAACTTGTGAGGAGAAGATAGGAAGACGACAGTTCAAAACCAGTCTCAACAAACATGCTGGGCATGCTAATTGAGCCACATAGTCCTACATAATTTAAGTGGTGGAACTAGAAAGATTGAAATTCAAGGCTGGTCTAAGATAAAAGCATGAGACCTGATCTAACATACAAACTAAAGTATAAAAGACTTGAGGTGTGGCTCAAAGGATAAGAGTGCTTGCCTAGACAGCAGGTGGTCCTGAGTTCAAATCCTGGTACTGCCAAGAGAAAAAGAAGCGAATGAAAGTCCAAAAAGTAGATATTAAATACCTCATAATACTCAAGTCTTGAAAGTTAAAGATCAATGTGTGTTCCCTTTGAAACCTGTAGTGGAGAATCCTGGCAAGGGTTAGTCAGGGAGTTTTGAAACCTGATTGCTGAGAGGGATGGCATGTTAATAGAATAACTGAGACACAACAGGGTCTCCCTAACCCATATGCTCCACAGCTGTGCAAAGAGCCCAGGTGTGACCTTCCAAGGTCAGCATTCCCTTGTCCCATGTGTATAGAGACTTGGCAAGGCATAACCCAAGTTAATAGGCATGAACCCAGTTTTCCTGGACTGACCACTATGGCCACAGATAAGAGTTTGAGGATCTCAGGACCTCCAGTACAACACTTCTTCTTGAGCCTACTCTCCTAGAAGGTGCTATAATAAACCTGCTCCTGATTCAGTAGCTTTGTGCCACCTTTGAAGTCTTTCATGAAGAAGAGGTGTGTGGCCCTCCAGAACTGGTGGCCTGAATTTGGTGACACTTCCTTGCCTGTTTCAGCGTTCTGACATATTGTCAGCCATCTTTGCCTGCCCTTGGTCTCTGGTTGGTATCATTCCACTCTATCATCTTTTTTGTTGTTGTAAGTTGTGGGGCTTATACTCAGGGCCTGGTCACTGTCCCTGGGCTTTTTCACTCATGGCTACCTCACTACCACTTTGGGCCACAGCCCCATTTCTGGTTTTCTGGTAGTTAATTATAAGAGTCTCACAGACTTTCCTGCCAGGGCTGGCTTTGAATCATTAACTTCAGATCTCAGCCTCCTGAGTAGCTAGGATCACTCCACCATCTTCACTGCCTGTTCTAGGGGCTTGAACTCTGGTTCTGGGTTCGGTCCATGAGACCAATTTGTGCTCAAGACTAGCACTTGAGCCACAACACTACTTCTGGCTTTTTCTGAGTAGTTTATTAAAGACAAGAGTCACATGGACTTTCCTGCCTGGGCTGGCTTTGAATTGTGGACCTCAGATCTCAGCCTCCTAAGTAACTGGATTACAGGCATGAGCCACCACACAGGACTTGTCTCTGTCCTAATTTCTCCTTTTTATAAGCATACCAGTCTTATTGGGTTAGAACTCAAACTAATGACCTCGTTGCTACTAGATCAATTCTGTAAGACTAATACTTAGTATTGAGAGTTCACTATGATGTTCTAGGGGTTAGGAATTCAAGTTTCCTTTTGAGAGGCACAATTGAACTCAAAAAAAAAAAAAGGAATGGGTTGCAAAATCTGGGAACCATTGTGAAATTTTATTCACACACCAATTTTCAGGTGACTTGTTCAAAGAAGAAAAATACAAAATTCCTTGTCTAAATGGCAAAAAAAAAAAAAAGATCCATGAACCATTTTGACCATTTCTTCCTTGCCTCTCTTGCCAATATGGTCAATTTTAGTCTCAAAGAATTTTGTGATCTCTACAGGTTTGGGGAGAAGGAAGAGGCTCAAATAATTGATATTGTTCGAGATAAGGAGAATACATGAAAACGAATCATGTACCACTTAAGGACAGACTTTTATTAACTAGTCTGAAGAGAAGCATAGATCTTTTGAAATGTCACAAGATGGACATTGTAAAGTTTATAGAAAAATTAAACAATGGCATACAGTTGTGAGCTATATAAACACTTAATCTGGATTTTGTTGTTTGCTTAAACCACAAAAGAAATCAATTTTAAGCTAAATGTTTTGATCTGTGTAAATTTCCAGCTTCTTTGTATATTTGTTTCTTTATTTAGATCACTACTTAATGTTCTAAGAAAGTATAATGATGTGTAAAATGGCACTTTTATTCAAATTAATCCTGTGTGGATAATCTGTGGGATCTCTTCTAACATAGAAATTCCAAATAACATACATTTAAGACATTCACAATCAAACCCTTGTTCAGTTTTATGATTTTAACCACTATGTAAATTCATCTGCATGGATATATATATTCATTTGCACACACATGTGTATATAGACATATGCACATTATTTATGTATTGATATATAGACAAGTATTTTTCCTGCACCGCCTTACAGAACGTATTTCAGATCTTATTATCTGGCATCATTTAATTCCTGTTACTTACAATATTGGGTTTCTCCTTTTATGAAGTCTTCAATTCACAAATTTCTATCTCTCCTTCTCCCAGAGGAAATCCATCTACTCTTCATCGTAAGCAGTGACATGGGCTCAGACCACAAAGGAATGTTATTAGGAGCCAGGTGTCAGTGGCTCACACCTGTAATCTTAGCTACGAGATCTGAGGATCATGGTTCAAAGCCAGCCCATGCAAGAAAAGTCTGTGAGACTCTTATCTTTAATGAACCAATAGAAAACAGGAAGTGGTGCTGTGGCTCAAGTGCTAGAGCACTCGCCTTGAGCTGAAGCGTACAGGGACAGTGCCCAAGCTGAGTTCAAGCCCACAACCAACAACAACAAAAAAGGAATGTTATTAGGACAAACACTGCTTTCCTGAGTGAAATCAGCCCTCCATCTCTGGATTACATTTTTTCCACTACTATCTTCCCTAGGCACTTGGTTCCAGTAACACAGACTTGATATGGAATGCCTGGTATAACCCAGAGTGGTTACTCTTCTCTACATTTTATTAAAGCTCCTTTCTTTCTCTCATCTTTACTTGCATATTACGTATAAAGTGCTTACCCATCCCTTCTAATGGAATTTTTTTTCCACAGGGACCTCTCTAGTCTGAGTTAGGGTAAACACTTTTCTTTCAAGCCCTTCCAGTGCCCTGTGGATTCTAGCACCATAGCATCTACCACTGAAATAATAATTTGATTTTCAAACAGTCTGATAATATTTCTCCCTTCCTCAAATTGAAAAAGGGTAGTGAGTTGTACTTTCTTTTTTTTTTTTTTTTTGAATAAGCACCTGCCCACCAAAAATGCTCCATAAGGTTTACCATTGAAGAGAGAACTTAGAGGCATAAAAGTAACCACTCTAGCTGTTTGTCAATCATTATAAGGAGAAGAAGCTGGTCTAGAAAATGGTTCTTGGTTGAAGCCATGTTGTATAACTTTGTAAAGAATCAACGCATTAAAAGCCAGGTGCTGGTGGCTCATGCCTGTAATCCTAGCTATTCAGGAGGCTGAGATCTGAGGATCATGGTTCAAAGCCAGCCAGGGCAGGAAAGTCCATGAGACTCTTATCTCCAATAAAGCACTAGAAAACCAGAAGTAGTGCTATGGCTCAAGTGGTAGAGAACTTGCCTTGAGCTGAAGAGCGCAAGCACAGCACCTAAGCCCAGAGTTCAAGCCCCATGACCAACAACAACAACAAAAAAAAGAAGAATCAACGCATTTGTTGGGAGCCTTAATGGCCATATGCCATAAATACACTGTTCCAGAAGTAAAATTAGGGGCTAAAAGGATGGTTCATGAGGTAGAGCACTTGCCTAGCAAGTCTAAGGCCCAGTTTTGAAACTCTATTACTACACAAACTGGAAAAAAAAGAATTATGCTACTAATGGAACCTTAAAAGCACTTAATATGCATTAACTCAATTATTTTCAACCCTGACTGTACACAAGAGTGACCTGGGAGTGTTCTGAAAGTACAGGGCCAGGTCCCCAAACAAGGCAAAATCACTGCAGTGCTTACGTGGCTTCTGGGGGAGAGAAAGAGCCCTAGGAAACCCCCTGTAAGAGAATCCATTCATCTGGTTGACATGTTTTCACTGATGTTCCACAGAAGCTAAAATGTTTTCCATGTATGCACAATACAGCCAATAATTCACCAAAAGAGGCAGGGCTTTGCTCATTGTTCAGAAAGACATTGAGGCCCAAGCAGGATAATGGATTTTCTCCTGACATCTATGACACCAGGAAACTCCCAGATTTAAATTCAGGTTGATTAAAATCAGTGTTTCTTCCAGCACCTCCCACTGCCCCTGAGACCCACGTCATAGGTAACTGAACTTCTGACCTCACTCCACAACTGGGTCTGAATTTGGTTGCCTCTCGGGTTAACAAACCACAGGAGATGTGTGTGTGTGTGTGTGTGTGTGTGTCCAATAGAACAGAAGGCGAATAACAATAAGGGAAATACAAGCAGACAAAACTCAGCTACACAGAGTAGAAGAAAAGCCTCTCCAGCAACTAACTGGCTTTCATTATACCATCTGCTACTTCTTGCACCCAAAGAATAGCCAGCCTCTTTCACTTCTATTTTCTTCCTGTTCTACCTGTTTCTCTTAACCAGCCTGACAAGCATGGTAATAGATATTGTGAGTCTACTCCTAAGATTAAACTATACTACCACAAGAAAAAAAGAAAGAAAAAAGAGAACGAAGGCAGGCAGGAAGTCAGATAGGTAGGCAAGCAGGAAAGAAAGAGGAATGAAAAAAAAAGGGCATTGGTAGCCTAAACCTGTAACCTTAGCTACTAAGGAGACTGAGATTTGTAA